ACCCTCCGGGCTCCGTGTGCCTGGTCTGCCAGAGCTTCCTTCTTTCGGTAGCCTGAAGCCCTGCAGCCTTGGCAAAACCAGCGGCATCTCCTTCTGACCGGCGCCCCCATCCCAAGGCCAGTCCCAATGGACAGAACCAATTCCAGGGCAAGAAGAGGCCACAGGTGCCACGTTGGAAAACAGCAGGGCCCATTTCTCCACTCTGCCCGCGGCCAAGGCCTTGCCCAGTGAGCAAGCGGGAGAGCAGCCACCTGGGGCTCCGCTTGAGAAATTGAGGCTGCCACAGCAGCTTTGGGATTTTCAGGCAGAGCCGCTCTCCCATCCCAGCAGCTGGACAGGGAGGGAGCCACCCCCAAGGCTGGTGTTGATGGGGAGCCCGTGGCCAGGGAAATCCTGCCCTCCGGTTCCCAAAGGCTATCCATCCGGTCTTAGGGAGAAGGATGGACAATCCTCCTAGATCCAGTGCTGCGGAGGCCTTCGCAGGGAGGAGGCGAGGAGGGGGACAGCTCACCTTTCTGGGGGAAATCCTCTCCGGCCCCAGCTGTCTTCTGCTCCTGCCGACTCTGCCGCGGGGCCTGGTCAAACGGGTTGAGGTGGCCCTGCCGGAAACGGGCCAACTTCTCATCATATTCCATAGCCGTCCAACCTGCTGGAAGCCGAGGTCAGGGGGAAGAGCCTGAGCCCCCCACAAAGCATGCCTCGCCCGGGGTCAGGGTCCCAGCCTGCCAGAAGCTACCGGAGTGCCTCCCACACAGTTTCAACTTCAAGCTCCTCCCAGCCTCTCAAGCCTTGTTGACATCCTAGGAGGCAGAAAAGCCAGTTCTGCCAGCTCAGATGGTCCCCGTGTGCTGTTCAGAGTCACGGACGCATCGGAGCAACCCGGTTGCTGCCAGTCATGACCAGGAATGAGCAGGACTTCCAGAAAGAAACCCTGCCAGAAAACCTCCAAGCGCAGAGAGTCCCAAGGACTCCACGCTGCCTGGCGGCGCAAGGTCACAGCCTCCCTCCAGGCACAGAATTCTGAGGGCGGATTTAGGCAGCTCCAGGCCGAGAGCAGCCAACAAAGGCAGGGGAGCTGAATGAGCCTGAAGCCAAGGCGGCACGAAGCCCCCCCCCCCCCCGCTTGGCATCCCTAAACAGCACAAGAGGCAGGGGAAAAGCGGGGAGGCACGGGGCTCCTGAGGCGCTCACCCCATCACTCACTGGGTGTATGTGTGTGTGTGTGTGTGTGTGTGTGTGTGAGAAAGGACTCCAAGCCCACCATACAGTTCCTAATTCTCAGTGTGTGACTCTTTCGTTCTGCCTCATTTCCTCAAGGAAGTTTTAAAATGACACCATCCCTGCTTTGCTGAGCTGGGTGGATCCTCTCGCAGAAAGTCTCCATGACGATGATGATGGTGTAGCTTTTATCTCTTTCTCTCTCTCTCACACACACACACACAGGGAGGGAAGCACCCAAGGCCCTGCTGTTTCCACTGAGTGTCTGGAATAACTTTTCAGAAGCAAGAACCCGAGTTCCAAGAATGCCATAAAGGAGAAGTAGAATTAAACACGGAAAAATGTTTGGCTGAACTTAAACCCAGTAAAGATAACCAAGCTAAGCCTGAGTCGCTCCTGAATAAGTGCTGATCTTTGAGCCGTGGCTGGTGGTCTCAGGGGCCATCAGGATAAGCCAGAAGCCCCTCGAAAGGCTCACCTGTTGGACCTCGGCCAGCCACCGCTCAGCGCAGGGCCGCGGGAAGCCCCGCCTCGTCCCGGCCTGTAGACGGGGGGGGGGGGGGCGGCCCGAAGGGGCCCCGATTTTGCTCCCCAAAGAGGCCGCTCCCAGACCCCGCGGAGGGCAGCGCAAGCAGGCAACGGGCCGGGGGGAGCCCGAGTCAAGGGGACCGAGGCCACGGCGGGCGGGGAAGCGCCCGATGCCCGCCTGCATTTCACCGGATCGCTTGCGGCGACTTGGCCACTTGGACGGGCCCGCCGAGCCACAGGCCGCCGGGCGAGGCTGCCTCGGAGCAGCCGCCGGAGCGGAGGCAGCCGAGCGGCCAGACAGACTGCATCCAACCGGAGGCCGGCGGTTGTCCGGCGGGGCGCCGAGCTGGGCCCGCCCGGAGGCCGCCCGCCGCCAAGGCAGCCCTTGCCGGCCACGGGCGGGGGGACGGACCGCCGCCGCCCGCGCCGCCCCGCTGCTGCCAGGCGGGCGCCCCGCGCGGAGGGTCGGGTCGGGGCTGCCCTTACCTGCGCGCCCATGGAGGGAGGGGGAGGGCCCGGCCCGGCCCGGTCGGCTGGCCCGGACGCGGCGCTTCCTCCGCTCGCTACATTGTAGCCCGCCGCCCGCTCAGCCCAGCGCGCCCGGAGCGCCCGCGCCGCCCGATGCTGCCCCCGCGCGGCCGGAGGAGCGCGGCTGCCTCTGCGCTGCCTCTGCGGCCGTCCCGGCGGGCGACCGCCCCGCGCCCCGCCCGACGCCGGGCTTCATCTCCGGCCGCCTCTCTGGTTATTAGAACGCCCGAGGCGGCTTCAAACAACGGGAGAAGCCGGGCGGGACTCACGGGGCGGCCGGGCGGCAGAGCCCCCCCCCCCCCCCGAAGAGCGCGCCGCCCCCGGCCCTCCCCCCCCCCCCCCCCCCCCCATTGTCCACACTGTACAAACGAAGCTGAGACAAGCTTTTGTGGGGCCGCCTTTGGGCCTGGAGCCCCAAGCACCTGTTTGGTCTGCTTCGCGGTTACTGGAAATAGCCCGCTGCTGCCCTCTTTGGCCGCCCTCCGGCCCCTTCGAGAGGGTGGGCAGCAGCCCAGCGGCCTCTAATGCCTCACTGGTGGGAGGGGCTGGGAGGGAATCCCCCACCCTGGTTCCTTATCCAGGTCCCACAGCTGAGAGGGAGGCAGGGCCCCAAGGGACCCCCCCCACCCCGTGAAGGGGAACCCCACCAGAGGTGCCGGGTGCCGCAATGACCCTAAATGGCACATCAGACCCAGTAAGGCAGTAAGCCGACAATGGCTGCGCCTGAGGTGTGAATCTCCTCCTAGCTGTGGTGGTCAAGTGGGTGGCCGCCTTTGACTCCTCCGCCAAGACTTGAGTGGTTGCTCTCCGTGAGGTTGGGTCCTCCAGGGACTGACAGCCTCCTCTGCCCATCCCTGCTTAGTCCATGGTCTGGAATTAAGGAAAAGCTCCATTTAGGCAGCCATGAGTTTGTTTTCTCAGGAAAATGTGTTTCAGTTAAAGCACGACCATCACCCATCCGTTCGTTTCATCCCAACTGCGAGAACCATCTTCCTCCTAGGCGGGTGCAGCTCAAAGACGAAATGGGGTGGAATCGCCTTCTAGGCAGGGACTTTCCAAGCATTTCCTTGGTTCCTGGTTAATATGTGTGTCCTTGGGGTGGGTACAGCTGCCTCTTTGAGAACAGGCATGCATGGGCATTGCAAGTGCCAAGAAACAAGGGCCTGCTCTGCACACACACACACACACACACACACACACCCCTTTGCTATAGGTTCAAACACTGAGTTGGCTCATCCAGCGGGGGGGGGGGGAGGAGGTGTGGTAGTGTTGCGGTTATGGCTTCAGCAAGGAGTCCCTCTGATCGCTAAATGACTTTCCCTTTGTTTTCATTCAGGCCAATGATGATGGTAGTTATGACCACACAACTTAAGCCCCACCTCTTCTTTCTACATGTGTGCGTCACTTGCAAGTGCCATCTTCACCCTTGTGACCCCACTCCAAGGAACTCATGCTGCAGTCGTGCCCCCCCCCCAAACCAGGCCAAACCACAAGGGAAATAGCTGGATGCCATTGTTAGCGGGGTGCATTAGGGTCCCCTGGGAAGAAGTGGGTCATTGGCTCGACCTGGCCAGAGGGAGGGAGGGAGGGAGGGGCCTGCTGGGCACTTTGCCAGAGCCCCGGTGGCGCTCACTCGGAGGTGCTCTGATGCTCACTCACCCCCTTCCTGCTTCCCTAAATTAAGGAAAGACTTGAACCCAGAAACTTCTCCGTGCTGCCTTGAGACTCCCACGGCCCAAGGCGGAAAGCGCTTCCGTGTTTTCTCTAAGGACAGCCCTGAGAAATATTTCCTCTGCAGTCAGAGCAGAAGGGGCTCTTTATCCTTTCTGGGAGTGGCTCCTGTGAACCCCCCAGAGCCGCGGCTTGTTGACTGCCAACCTTCCTGGGCTTAGTGGACCAGGGAAAGGCACCTCCTCCTGCCACTGAGAGTGAAAAGGGGGAAGGGCCAGCGCAGGCGCCCAGCAAGCTCACAGGCTGCGGCCAGGGGAGGCAGAGAATGGCTTTTTGCGCCCTCCACCTGAGCCCGGGAGGAGCTGCCTTCTCCCTGGCAGCAAACCCGAATGAGGCTCAAAGAGGGGCTGGGAGGGGGGGCACCTTCTGACGGGCGGGACATGTCTAAAGGGAAGGCCATTGAGACCATGGCAACCGCTGCTAGACGTGGCACCGTGTGCCCCGAGTCCCGAGGGGGTAGATGCAGTTGCACGTGGGGCAACCCATGCACGTCTCTCAGGCTTGTTGCGCATATTCAGCCAAGGATGCTGCCGCTAACCCTTCTGACCCCCCGCCATCGTGCTTTGGCCGGCCCAGCAGAGGCAGACTCTCATCCCTTTGCCCTTCATGCAGATCCACCTGGCCGTGACCACCTGATTCCTCTGGCTCGTCTCCAGGATCTGTCCAGCTCCACCAGCCAACCCAGGGTGGCCGTGCAGGGAACGGCCTGCAACGGTCCTGCCCCTTCTTGCCCGTGGCCCCAAGTAAAGGCCTCCCAAAGGGGGACCGGAGGAATGGGCACCTCATGCTTCCACCTTGGCCGACTCAGCCACCCAACCTCCAAGTGGCAGAAAGCAGGCAGCCCACAAGCTGGACAGCAATAAATTTATTAAGTATTCCAAAACATAAAAATAGACACAGACCAGTAAAAAGTAAAGAACAGAATCCTTGAATTTATCAAAGTGACTAACAGAGGGATTTGCACTAACTCAAAAAACTGGAGATTGGGGAGCTGGAAGAAAAGATGGTCAAATACTGAATTTTTCAGTTTTGGAACGCTTGGATCAGAAGTAACTAGAAGCTGGTTGTCTAAAGCTCATCAGATGGGAGAGTTGGCCGATGAAGATGAGCCACGGGGTGGTGCTAAGGGCGGCTTCTTCCCAGGGAAAGGGCGGAGTGTGGCTCCCAGCCAGGTCCTCACTTGGCACCCTGGGCTTCAGACTCTTCCTCGTCATCTTCGTACATCTCCCCTTCCTCCTCAGCAGTGGCATCCTGGTACTGCTGATACTCAGAGACCAGGTCGTTCATGTTGCTCTCAGCCTCTGTGAACTCCATCTCATCCATGCCCTCCCCTGTGTACCAGTGGAGGAAGGCTTTGCGCCGGAACATGGCCGTGAACTGCTCCGAGATGCGCTTGAAGAGCTCCTGGATGGCGGTGCTGTTGCCAATGAAGGTGGAGGACATCTTCAGGCCACGGGGCGGGATGTCACAGACGGCCACCTTGACGTTGTTGGGAATCCACTCCACAAAGTAGCTGCTGTTCTTGCTCTGGATGGCCAGCATCTGCTCGTCCACCTCCTTCATGGACATGCGTCCCCTGAAGACTGTGGCCACTGTGAGGTAGCGGCCGTGGCGGGGATCGCAGGCAGCCATCATGTTCTTGGCATCAAACATCTGTTGTGTGAGCTCAGGCACAGTTAGGGCTCGGTACTGTTGGCTCCCGCGGGCTGTCAGGGGAGCAAAGCCGGGCATGAAGAAGTGGAGGCGAGGGAAGGGAACCATGTTGACCGCCAGTTTGCGCAGATCCGCATTGAGCTGCCCTGGGAATCTCAGAGAGGTGGTCACCCCACTCATGGTGGCAGAAACCAGGTGGTTGAGGTCTCCATAAGTCGGGGTGGCCAACTTGAGGGTCCGGAAGCAGATGTCGTAGAGGGCTTCATTGTCGATACAGTAGGTCTCATCTGTGTTTTCCACCAGCTGGTGGATGGAGAGGGTGGCGTTGTAAGGCTCTACCACAGTGTCAGATACTTTGGGGGAAGGCACCACGCTGAAAGTGTTCATGATCCGGTCTGGGTATTCTTCACGGACTTTGCTAATAAGGAGGGTCCCCATGCCAGATCCTGTGCCCCCACCGAGGGAGTGAGTGAGCTGGAAGCCTTGCAAGCAGTCGCAGTTTTCACATTCCTTTCTCACCACGTCCAGGACAGAATCCACCAACTCGGCCCCTTCTGTGTAGTGGCCCTTAGCCCAGTTGTTCCCTGCACCACTTTGACCTGTGCGGGAAGAATTGAGACACCTGTTTGATGGGTAAACTAAAAACACCTGATTCTGCCTCAGAAGCCAAGAAGGCCTTGAAAAACAATCCTGGCCTGGAAGGAGCTTCTGTGCCTCTCGTTGCCTTTGGCCTAGCTGGTTCCCCCCGTCAGAACGACCAACCCCACCAGGGCCTTTCCATCCCTCCCAACCCACAGATGCAATTCCACCAATCCGAAGGAGAAGCGGTGCCATCTCCAGGTGTAGAACTGGGTGCTACATTAAGGAGGGAGGGAGGGAGGGAGATCTGGGCAAGAGGAGCACAAAGAGGGACAATACCAAAGATGAAGTTGTCTGGCCTGAAGAGGTGTCCAAAAGCTCCGGAGCGAACGCTGTCCATGGTGCCGGGTTCCAGGTCCACCAGGATGGCTCTGGGGACATATTTGTGAGCTGGAAAGACAACGAAGGTTTTCCCCTTGAATGGACAAACCTGGATGGTTCATCGACCAAACAGGCCCTTGCATTTATTCAACACGGTTCTTCCCTCCACTCCTTGAGTGATCTATAAAGTACAGAGCTTGGTCCCTCCACCTGTGCTTCCTGCCGGAAGACCACCAGCACGAGTTCCTTTGCCAAGAGTTACACCAAAGGACCTGCACATGAGGGCTCAAAGCATCTCATGCTCCTTACCCCCCCTTTATGCTTCCTTCTACTGGCAGTGCTAGGCTCAAAAGGTGCACGGCCAAATGACCTCCCTCCTGGCTTTGGGAACCCAGGAGCCCCATCCTTGTTCTCAATGCCAGCACCAGGTGGGCTGGATAAAAATTAGCGTGAGGCCATCTTTGTGTGGACTTCATTTTCTCCCTGGTAGCACTGGAAGCATTGAAAGTGCCTGAGGGAAAGACCTGTAGGTCAAATGGGATGGTCGGCCTGTGTAATTTCCGGGAAAGGTCCGGAGGGAAATTCTTGGTGTCAGAAGACACTGGTTAGGTAGGGAGCAGAGCTTACAGGAGGCTTCATTGTAGTACACACTGATCCTTTCCAGCTGCAGATCAGAGTCCCCGACATAGTTTCCACTGGGATCTATCCCATGCTCATCACTGATCACCTCCCAGAACTGAGAAAAGAACAAGAGGTTAGAAAAAAAATGAGACACATGGTTCGGATATCTTCAACAAATAAGAATTGGAATCAGAGCAGTACTATAAGATTTATTCTGTTGTTATACTTTGAAAAAAACAATTCCGAGTTGCTTCTGTTCTGCCCTCCTTTTGCCAAAAAACTCAACTGGCTATCTTTCCTCCACAACCCCACAACCCCCCCCCCCAAAAAAAACCCCTCAGATTTTGCCAATCGGCCAAGTCAATGACCTCTTCCCTAGGAGACCGCAGGTATGCTAGTCAAGGGACCTGACCATGGTGCTGAAACCGCCCCTTCTCCCTCCTTGAAGGCATTCCCGGCTCATGGCATACGTGTGTGTGTGTGGGGGGGGGGGGGTGTTGTCACATTGCAGCCACCTTCCCAGGGAGGGAAGCTTAATTCCCATAGGGCTTCTCTTAGCTCCCAGTGTGCTTCGCTGTAAAGGCACATCTGGCCCCACTCCGAAAGCCAATTAGGCTACAAGAACAAGCCAAAAAAGAACAAGACACTTTGCCCTTGAAATCAGATCCAGGAGAGCAGATCCATTTCTGCAGACTAATCCCATTGGGAGATAAAGCACCTGACTTCTGGGCAGGGGTGCAAATGCACTGGAATCAATAGTCAGATGCGGACTGCAGCAAGAGCCTCACACGCTCCCCAGAGAGGCTTGAAGGGCAACAGCTCATCAAGATACGGTTTCTAGCGCTTGGAGCAAAAGCTCGCTCTCGTAAACAAGGGCTACGCAGCAGCAGCAGCAGCAGCAGCAGCGTTCCCACGGGGGACAGCACAGCTTCTTTGGATGGGATTTTTATGGGTTTAAAGATTCTGCTCTTTCCTCATGGAATGAGGACGGTGGAAGTGGAGGAGGCGGCACCATCTATGCAGGCCAGGGACACAAGGCATCCCTCGCAGATGGAGCTGCCACTGTGAAAGGGCCCTTCCTCACCGACAAGGTCGGGAGCGGCCACACGACAGGACTGCCTAGTGTTGTACACGAATGGGAGACCGGAGGTCCACAAAAGAGTCTGGCGGGGTTTTTAAAAGGGACAGAACTGACTCTAAACGGTCTTTAGCCTTTAGCCAGGGAGCTGAGCACTTCAGCGAGATTTGGGGACCAGTCTTTGGGGGAACTGGCCTGCTGCCCTAGGCCTGATCTGGGCCGAGGAAGCCCAGCTGAATACCCAGCTCAGCCTAGTGGATCACAGGCTGAGATATCCCAGAGGGAGGCCCAAGCGAGGACGTCGGCCGAGATGGCCAACGGATGGCAGCTTCTTAGGCAACCTCCACCTGGCGTTCACGGAGTTGTAAGATATGTTAAATGAAGAGCCAGTCACATGACAGGAAGGAAAGAGCTGAGGAAATCAAATCCTCTTCTGTGTCATGCAACAAAAGGCCTGACCTGGGACTGCACTGATGTGGGACTCTGGCCAAAACTGACCCTCAAAAACTCCTCTTAAATCTCCTCCCTGGGGACTGCGGACACGGAAAGGCCAACCTCAGTTTGGCAGGGATCCAGTTACAGGATCTGTGGGTTGCAATGGATTATCCCTCATAACTAGCACATGCATAAGGCTGCTTATATAGCCCATGGGGAGAAAACCTGCCTCCCCCCAGTGTGACTTTTCATGGCAGGCTAGTTGTCCCCCTGGTGCATCTCATTGGGTGGGGGGGGGCTATAAAGGTTATGCAACCAAGGGTGTCCCATGTGATTTGTTTGCAGTGAAGCTTAATTCAGAATTCAATAAGACTGGAGGCTGGTATTCCAAGAGCTATTTCTCTTTCACTGGTGATATAAAATAATAATAATAATGTGTACATAAGTATCCTAACGCGTCTTTGAAGAAAAGTTCCTTTGTTGTGGAGCAAGATTTCCTGGACAAAGACCCCCACATCCCAGAACAGCCCACTGGAGGGCCGAACTGCTTTGTCAGAAGCCAAACCTAGGGCTGGGGAGGGGGGGAGCTCATTATTCATCGGAGGCTCTGGGCTGTGTGGGGCGGGCCCCTCTCCACCAGGAGGAAGGCAGGCTGTCCTTCCCAGAGGAGGGTGGGTGGGAGGGTGGACCCCAGGCTCAGCTGCCAAAGTGCTCCCGAGGCTGATTCGATTTCAGGCTGCTGGGCTCCTCCACCCCCGGGGAGGGGATCGGCAGAGCTCTCACTGCAGGGAGTTGGCCTCCTTTTTATTCAGAGCAGGCACGGGTGGGGGTGGGGTGGGAGAAGGGGACTGGAGGGATGATTAGCCCGCTTTGTGGCACTGAGTCACGGCAGCTGGAGTCTCTCCCTCCTGCCACAGCCTTCTTGGGATGCATTCACTCTCCGCTTGGAGGAAGAAGCCCCTTCCTCCCACCAGCCCACCCTACTCCCCCAAGTCTGTCCTGGCAGGGCCGGTGCTTTCAGGCAGGAGGTTCTCATTGGTCTGCCCAGCTCTTTGTCTGCCGTCCAGACACCTGCTGCCCTGAGGTCTTGGGAGTGGGAAGGGCTTCAGGGGACGGAGAGCCTCTGCCTCCAATTAGCGCTGCCTGCCAAGCTGGGAAAGTCCTTTACGGACCCTCCTTCCCCACTTTGCAGCTCCGGGGACTGAGACGCAAAACAAAGCGGCCAACAGCCTTCATTCCGGGGAAGGAGAGAAAGGGAGACGCCCCTCCACGGAAGATCAGAGGGAGGGAGGGAGGGAGAGAGAGAGGGAGAGAGAGAGGGAGGTTGCTGGAAAATTGATGGCAGGGAGAAGGGAGCCAATGGACCAAGGTGCCCCTCAGCTTCTGGCCTCACCAAGGTCACGGTGTCCAGCACGGTCTTTGTTCTGGAGATCCGGGGGTCTTTCAGCTGCCGAAGGAGACCACTCCCCGCTTTGTCTTGGAGAGGCAGGGGGAGGGGGAGTCCCGCTTCGGCCATCCTTCAGCCCACGCTCCCCCCACCCCCACCCCTGGCATCGCCCCCAGAAAGCCGGGCCACAAGCAGCCGCGTCTTGCCAAGCCGGCTACCCGCCGCCCTCACGCACAAACGGGTCCGGGCCACAGAGCGGTGCAGGCGCCTCTTGCGCACCTGAGCATCCCCCCCCCCCCCGCGTCCCGCCCTCTTTACCTTGGCTCCGATCTGGTTGCCGCACTGGCCCGCCTGGATGTGCACGATCTCTCTCATGCTGCGAGGGCGGCGGATAGGGCTGGAGGGCGGCAGGCAGCGGCAGGAGCGGTGGGCGCGGAGCGACTGGAGGAGGCGGCCGGGCTCTGCCGGCGGGTTTTATCGGGGGCGCCTGCTGCACCCGGGCTGGGCGCTGACGTCACGGCGGACAGCTCGGCCAATCCGGAGGCGCCGCTGCAAAATACTGCACCGGCTGCAGCATCAGGACCAGGCGCGCTTGCACGAGGCGAGAAGGCGGCGCTGGGTTTGGCCCCTTGGGATCGGGCGCATCGCCTCCTGCATGCGTTACGCAGCGAGGCTCGCTCCAGGCTCCGACTCTGGCGCTCTGCTGCAGAAGAGTGCCTCTGAGCGTGTGCGGAGGGCTTCCTCCTTAGGACGCGGCCTCTCAGGCCCGCCCCTCCCCCTCCCCGGTGCCAGAACAAGCCGGGATTGCAACGGAACTTGGGTCCTGCTCGTTGGTCCCGTCCTGTGGCTGGGAGGGTCGCTTTCGTTCGTTCTCAACTGGCTCTTCTTACGCGAGCCGACAGGCTGCCTCCCGGCGGCGCTCCAGCGTTTGGGCCGCGGCCGACCATTTCCCAGCCCCGGGCCAGGGAGGAGGGTTGGGCGACGGGGGCTTCGGGCCTAAGAGCAGCAGCCTTTAAAAGGGGAGGGGGCGGAGCGCCGCGGGCAGGTCCGGAGAGGCGGGGGACAAAGGCCCGCTTGCCTGTAAGGCGGGGGGGGGGGGACAGGAGAAGCGAGCTGCCGCAGCCCACCTTGGGCGGCTCCGGCCCTTTGTTCCGGCGCCAGCCTCCCCAAGGAAGCCCGGGCCCCGCCCGCAGAGGGAGGGGACACGTCCCCCCTCGCCTTTGTGTCTGCGCCGCGGCTCCCCTGCGGGCGGGGAACCAAGCGGCGCGTGCCGACCCTGCCCTCTGGCCCCGGCGCAGGAGGCGGCCGAGCCGGCGTTTGGGCTGCGCTCCCCTCGCTCCGAGCAGAAGCCCCGTCCTTGCCGCTGCGGAGGATCTGCGAGGCCGGGGGAGCCGCCCTTGCCCTCGTTTGCCCCGGCGGCCGGTCCTGGCGCGGCTGCTCACGGGCGCGATTCCAGCCGGAGGCGTCCGGAAGGCCGGCCTTTCCGCGCTGCTCCTCTCACGCCTCTCAAGCGCCGAGGCCCGGCGGGAACATCTTGATTAGCTCTGACCGGCAGCGAGGAGGGGCCGAGGCTCTGTCTGTACCTGCTCCCGAGCCAGCCAGGCCGCCCAGCCGGACAAGGACGCGCTCGCTGGCTGGCGGAGAAACGCGGGTGGGATCTCCTCTCCCCCCCCCCACCCGTTCTCCCCCCTCCCCCGCTTCCTAGTAAGAGGGGAGGCAGAGATGACTTAGAAGGTGGTGGCCCAGGGGAGAGAAAGGAAGGAAGGAAGGAAAAGAAAGAAGAGTGGAAAGGACTGGAAGAAGGGAATGCTGAACGAAGTTGGGAGTGCGAGTGGCACACACCCACTGGCATCAGGTGGCAAGGAACGGGGTGTCCATTCCGCGCAGTCATTGGGACTCCACCCTTTTTAGGTGTGCCATTCTCTTGTGGCCGCCTTCTTGATTTTTGCCACCATGCTGGGTGGAGCCATTTGATGTTCTTTATTGTCCACCCTCCTGATGCAGATGCCTTCCGCTGGAGCAACCACCCGGTTCCCCCTAAACCCTCCATGCAACTGCAAGGCAGCCCTTTCTTGGACCCAGGCAAGCGAGGCTGGAGGCAGATTCCATCCCACCCAAACCCTTAAGTCAACAATTGCAAGCCCTTTTGTCACCTATCTACACAGGAACCACCTGCAAGGATTATATTTCAGGTAGGAGAAATAGAACCCGATGGGCGCGTAGAAGATGGACCTCATTCCCTGGATCCGTCCGTCCATCTGTCCCACCCAGCCAAGCCAATGGCCTTGTTCCCTCTACAGAATGGCAGATGAAACCCACCCCTTAGATTCCCCCCCCCCCCCCCCGTCAGTCGGGATCCAGTGGTTGAGCCCACCCATGGCATGGCACAGGCAGACCAGCTGCCTCTTTTGTTGTCCCTTGGAGAGCAGCCTGCTTGTCCCCATCAGCAAACACGGCCCCCCTTCACAAGGAGGGACTTCAGTCCCAGGTGACCTGTCAAGCTAATTTCCTGAGTGGATTCACCCCGGTAAGACTAGCCTTGTCAATGATCGAAGTAGGATTTTAAATATGACCCTTGGAAACACCCTGTAAAAGAAGGTGGCTACCTCTGTAAGGGGCTTGCAAAAGGAACTTACACCAAAATCCCTCTCAACTGGCACAAATGGGCTAATATTGCAAAGACCGATGCAGATCAGAAGTCCCAATTCTCCCTTTGATCCCAAACTCTTGTGACCGTCATGCCTCACTGGCATTTGCCTCCCCTCCCCCGACACCCTTCATGCCACCCAATTTAATTCAGACCCCTTTCATCCTTAAAGGGTGGGCAGCTGCCGCAGACGAGGAAGGAGAGGCGCCTGCAAAACCCAAAGGCAGGAAGTACACTGATCAGTCAAAAAATGTCAAACTTTAGCTTTTACTACAAAGCAACAACTATCCTGTACAAAATGGTATTTGCATTCAAACTGCTAGTGTAAAACATAAATTCTGCCCAAGAGAAAAGTGGAACTGAGTGGCTGCTGGATAATTTTTTGGCTGCTGTATAATTTTCTTGTTCTCCAAGTTGTCTATTGCAGCCTTATAGACTCGATTGCTCACCTCACATTGCAGAAGAGACGCAGGCATGAATCGGGCTCTCCAGCAAACGATCCCACAGTCCAGGGTGAGAAATGTCTGGGACTGCCTTCTCTGGCCCCCAGCCCTGGTTCTGAGCCACCAGTTTTACAGCAGGATTTGAGCGGGAGATGGGGGGGCGTGTAGCCCTTTGTCCTCTGCCAGTTGGGACTAAGCAGAACCTGTGGGAATCGCAAGAGGGTGTTTGCTGGGAACAACGATAGGAGGCAGCTGCTGACACAAGACGCCCATTACGGCAGATTTCAGCAATGTGACTCTTTCCAGTCTGTGGCCATCCAATAAGTGCCCAGCTGGCTACAAGGCGGAGAGAAGAGGCCGGGTGCTGGGCTTTTCCAGCGGCCAGAAACTTCTTCTCCACAATTTCCGCTGCTGAGTCACGAAGAGTCGCCTGCTGGCCCTCAACAGCACACCGAGCCCCTCTTTGGGGTGAGGGTGACTTCCTTGCACTGGGTCCTAGGGAGCCAGCCTCTCCTTCTCTGTCACCAGAGACACAGGGCCACCTCTTTCAATGTTTTCCTGAGCTCCTGGCTCCGGAAAGCGTAAATTATGGGGTCCACCACAGAATTGCAGATGATGAGGATGAGGTAGAGGCTAAAGTAGCGGAAGTAGCACTTGCAGGCCGGACGGCTGGGGCAGATGAGGATAAGGATGAGGTGGAGGAAGAAGGGTCCCCAACAAATCAAGAAGACCCCCAGCAAGATGGTGAGGGTGATGGCCCCCTTCATGCTGGTAAATTGGGGCGCATGCTGCTTGCCGTACATGGTCGAAATCTGCCTGGCGTGCCGGTGCGCCAGCACGAACATGTGGATGTACAGCCCTGCAATGAGGGTCAGCACCGAGAGGAAGAAGGCCACCAGGCACATGAGGACGGCCGTGCTGTCGTAAGCGATGAAGAGGATGCTGGAGACGATGCTGACCAGCCAGACAGCCACCATAAGGATGGCGGCCCGCTGGATGGTCATGATGCTGTGGTAGCGCAAGGCGTAGAAGATGGTGATGTAGCGGTCCATGGCGATGACGCCCAGGAAGGAGAGCGAGGACATCAAGGAGCTGCAGATCAGCATGTCCATGACGTTGTCCACCTGCTTGACCAGGCTGGCCTCGATGACCAGCATCCCGTGCTCTATCAGCAGCATGAAGAGGGTCTCCACCAGGTTGCTGACGCTCACCAGCATGTCGGAAACGGCCAGGCAACAGATGAAGTAATACATGGGGGAATGGAGGTTCCGGTTTTTGACAATGGCAGCCACCACCAGCAGGTTCTCCACAAAGCTCATCGCTCCCAGAGTCAGGAAGAGTTCACTGGGGATCACCACTTGCTGCTCGCTGGCACAGAAGGTCTCATTGGTCCAGTTGACCAGAGGATCGGTGGTGCTGTTGGGGAAATCCAGGTGCACCCTCATGGGGGACGCCTCAGGCATCGTGGGCGCTCGGAGGGCCGCTTGTGGAAAATAGGAGGGGGGGGGCACCAATTTCGGAAGAGCTTTTCTTCTTCAGAAGCCTTTTCAGGTGAGTGCCGGTATCTTGAGTTGCGCCAAACACTCACCTGTGGCTGCAGGTTCCTCCGTCAGCAGCTTCCCTCCCGGCAAGGCTTCCCCAGCTCCCAGGAGCTGCGACTTGATTCCAGGGATCCCAAAGCCCTGGCCTCTGGCCGGTTCTTCTCGCTGGCTTCTGCAGGTCGCCTGTGTGGTTCAGCCTGCGCAGCTCAGGATCCCTCCAGCTCCTTCCTCGGGAAGTGTTGTGTGCCTGTCCAAGTCCCCCTGCTTTCCTTCCTAAGGTTATAATTGCCGAATTTGTCCCTGCCTCCAAAATTGATTAGCAAAACTTAAGGGCAAAGAAAGAACTCTTTCTTTCCCCTCCTTTTAGAGGAACAGACACGGCCCCTCCTTTAGCAGAAGGGGGGGGCGGGGTGGGGGGGGTGACCCACATGATAACAAGTCAGGCGGGCGAGCCCTTTGAGCGGTGGGGAGATATTATGAAACGGTCCGGGTGAACTGCGGCCTTCACAAGCACAGATGAGGGGCAGCCGTTCTCCAAGGAGAAGCGCCAGAAAACCAGGAACGAGAGGGTGCCCCCCCCCCGGGCTTGCAAGGAGCGTGGGCAACGGATGGCCGCCGAGAGGGACAGCTTGGCCAGACTGCTACGGCATCAGGGCCAGCCATATCTGACCTGCTGTTCTTTGAATGACCCTCAGCTAGATTTCTTTCAGCGAGGTTCCCGTTACGGCCAGGATACCCTGAAGTAGCAGACTGCGCCCCTCCTCCTCCTCCTCCTCTCCAGCACCTTCTTCTGCAGAACTTCTTGTGCTGTCTCCATACACACGGTCCGTCCAGAGCTTGGCCTTTGTTAAGCGCTTCCAGGGGTTGTGGCCAAGGCTCTCAGCCCTCCGAAATAACGGCCATACTCTTCGGCAATCTACTCCCAGGCCTCGGTTGCTGAGCTTATGATGATGACAAGTCACACTCCCGTGGCAGCTCGTGTTTTTCTGAGGTGGGGTCTGCAGAGACACATCGGACCATTTTTCTGATTGCCCACATGGACGTAGGTGCCATCATCTCCGATCATGCCAGCTGGCATGGACCCCTAGGACCCCGATCGAGGACCCCAAAGGGAGGCCTCTGGTGGGGACACCTGCACAGGGCCAGACTGCCTAGCCCACTGGGGGAAGGGAGCGGGAGGGGTCAGGCTTAACAAGACCACCCTCTTCACTGGGACCAAGAAACACAATCCGGAAGCGGCAGAATCACAGAAACCGCATCCCTGGGCAAGGGCTACGGAAAGTCGGGCAGAGATTCATGGATGAACCAAGGAACACGCGTGACCTTCCTTGCACTTAACATATGACAGGCGGAGCAGGGAAGGAGTAGCAGGTTAAAGGTCAGTTGCTCCAGGTAGTTGCCTTTGGCCTGAGCTCAGCCGTGGGCAGCTGGCCTTTGAAAGGGAAGGCACCAAAAGAGCTCCGAAGTGCTGCGTTTGGGCCAAAGGCCCAACCCTTCCTGGAGCCACTGAAGAGGAAAAACCCTCCTCCGTCCCTTTACAGTGGAAGTGGCAATTTGGCTCCCCCCCACCCTTTTTAAATAAATGTTTTTATTTGTTTTTTAAAAAACAAAAACGAAATTGGCGTCCAAGCACAACCAGAGGCCACCTCGTCCTCCCTGGCCTGCTCCATGTCTCTGGCTCTACGGCAGAACCGGCCTGGCTTGGCCGCCAGAGGGGCAGGCAAGTTCAGCAGAGCCCCAGGGTCCGGGGGTTGGGCTGGCCCAGGAAATGTGCCTGTGCCCGGCTCAGGGGCAGTTGCCACCTTCCTATCCTGGCAGCTGCCTTCCCCGCGTGGCAGGCTCTCTGGGCTGCCCTGTTTGTAGACAACCCTGCAGATGGGCGCCTGAGGTGTGCGTGTCTGCCTGAAGGATGGAAACATGCCGGTGCACCTATTGTGGGGCCACACTGGAGGCTGAACAGATCTCAAGCATTTGAAAAAAGGGGGGGGGCTCTTCCAGGAACCCCCCCCCAGTGCAGAACCACAGCATGCCGAGGAGCCCAGCCCTCCCCCCACTCCCTCTCGCAAAGGGTCTCTGCCAAATATCAAGACTGAGAGGTTCAACCACAGTTGCGTCAAGAGTATTTAAAAAAAAAAAACATTTTCCCAACTTTTATTAATTAAAAAGTGAAGTTTCCCTTCCAAAATGCTGTCCTGCGCTGGTCCTCCCTTCCTGATGGGGAAGACGGAGAGGTGCGTGCAGAGGTGAAGAACAGGGGCTGCTCCAGGTGCTTCTACCTGCTTATTGGGGTGGGGGTGGGGGAGGGGCGCCAGGATTCAGTCCCAGTCTCCCCCATCGCCCTCGGGGTTGTCATCTTGGGGGGGTTCTTGGAACTGGATGTTGGCCAGCATGTCCCGCATGGCCGCCATCAGCCGGTTCACTCCCTGGTTGAGGTTCTGCCCGGCACCCGGCTCGGCTTCTCCTCCGGCGCGAACGTCCCCCTGGGATGGGGCAGAGGAGGGGGAGACACCCAGGCAGGTCAGTCCTCCGGGAGCCCCTCTCCCCGCCCCCGATGGCTGCCTTGGGCTTCTCCCAGTGGCTTCCATGGCCGCTCGTCCCACGGGGGACCAGAAGCAGAACCAAGGCAGACAATCTGGGCCCAGGCGGCACCGCTCACCCAACCCCTGGCCCAAATACCCGGCCAGAGCACCGCAGCTGCTGTAGGCCCATCCCGACCTCCCCCTCTTTGCTGCCCTTAACCCCCCGCTCCCCCCCCCCCCCGCCCCCCCGCTCCCCGGGCCCCCCCCCCCCCCCCCCCCCCGGAGCCCCCGTGCTCTGGGCACACCTGCCGTCGCCTCAAACAGGGCCCCTTACCTGCAAGTTGAAGTTTGGCAGCAGGGAGCGAAAGAAGAGGGATAAGGTGCTTTCGTTGGCTGGAGGAGCCGCCCTGGGAAGGCAAGAGGGACGGGGGCCTGAGAGGCCGGGAGGGGAGCGGGGGCTCTTCCCTGGGGGCCTCGGGGAGCCCCTCGGCTTCCGCTCAGGCTGGCCGGGCCAGGCGGCGCCTCTCGGGACGGCCACACGCACAACACGGCCGAGCGTGGGGAAATACCTTTCGGGCCTCGAGTAGGAAGCCCGCGAGTCCAGGGGTGGCAGAGGGTCGAACCCCATGATGGGCTGGGCGGTCACTTCCTTGAGAGAGGAAAAGAAGAGGTCAGCGGTCAGCGTGGCCGCCATTGTCCAGCCCTCGGCTGCTGAGTAGCCGAATGAAGCATCTCTTCCGCCCCCGAGGAAGACTTGGGCCTTCCGGTGCGAAGGGAAAGCCCAAAGGGGAGCCAGCCACGAGGACGGGGTGGCCGGCCCGCAGGGAAGGAAGAGAGACAGGCCAGCCTTGGGTCCCTCACCGGAGGCAAGGCGGCCGTGGCTTCCCTGATCTCCGAGAGGATCACGTGGCGGTAGACGTTCCGGGGCGCGTTTTGGTACCTGGCCTTTCGCCTACAGAGACAGAGAGCGGGGGAGAGAGGGAGGGAGGGAGGGAGGGAGGATGCCAACGGTCTCCCCTCACCCACCGCTTGCTCTCCCAGGGACACAGAAGCAGAAACACCCCCGAGTTCTCCGCCCTTTTTCTGCACCGGCCACGGGGCACGAACGCAGCCGAGGGCGGGGGAAGGGGCAGCGCTGTACGTCCTGAGCAGGGGGGGCGGGGGAGGCACCAGCCATCGCCCAACTCACTTTTGTTCTGCCTCCTCCAGGACGGGCTCCTTGGCATCCACCACCCGCAGCACCTGGTGGACATTGGTCTCCAGCCAGGCCATGA